TTACTTTGTTGTCATTTGTTAAATTCATTTTTTAAATCATTGTAAAATGCTCTAGAACTTTTGTATAAAGCACTATATAAATAGTTTTATTATTATCATTATTGATTATTAATTGTCTCAGGCCCTCTTTCAATAATTTTTAGAGAAGTCATATTACACTTTTTAGTCCCTATAGACATTTGAAAGTGTGGGTAGGAAGTACATGTAACATGTATGACTCTCCTGAATGACTACATGGATGGCTAGCTTTCTGAAGAAAAACAAAATTCAATGAAATAATACTTTGCTATTTAACTTAAACTGTTACATCCACTTGAATTTAATAAATTGCCAGGATAGAAATTGAAATATGTGAGATTGCTGCAGTGGAAGAAAATGACCAGTTCTCTGCACACATTTTTCCAAAGCATGGTATAACAGCAAGAGCTTCCACTGTGAACAAGCTCTCTGCCTCTTAAGGTTCTAACATCATGTGGCAAGTTTGAAATTGCTCTTGGATTTTCAGACACCCTGCCTACTCTTAAAGAGCTGCATGCTGGCAGAAAGTCCTTCACCTAGCAGAGTTTGGCCACAGATCGTCTGAGAAGATTGCATCATCTCATGGTAAAACAAAATTCCATTCTAGCTGTAAACATTTCTAGAAACTGCCTCTTTCCTCCCATACAAACACTGTATTTGTAGTCTCCAAGCCATATCACAAGTTCTAGCTTTGCCAATTAAATTCTTTTAGCAAACTTCCCTTCCTACTATCTTATTCATAACTATCAACTAGGGCCAGCCAATCTTAACAACTAACATTTTATACCTGTTTAAATTCTACTCTTTTTTGTTTCACAATCTGCCTTAGAAGGTTATATCACCTTACTGAGATTAAAACTGCAAATAAACAACCAACCACAAAATACTTCAAATGTAGAGTACAGACATCAACTGACCAGGCAGTCCCTACATGCTGCTACTCCCCAGGAAAAAGACAAAACTTTCTTCATGCTGCACAAGCAAGATCCCCTGTCAAATTTGTGGACATGGAAAAAGAGAATTCTCAAACTGAAGAGTACCATTAAAAAACATGCGAAGATTACAACTACCAGAGTTGAATTCACCTACAATGGATCTTCCAGTCCTTTCACAAAACTTTAAGATATTCAAAATGAAGCTACAGAATCTGACATCCTCGATTTAAAACACAATTATCACTAAATCAAACAAGTAACATCCCATAGTGAAACATGGCAAAGCTATCTATGATGCAGACTGATTGGTTGCTGAAAAAATTGCATTGATTACACTGGTGTTATGAGAAAATGTGATAAAACAGGAAAAAGTTACCACTATTAAAACTTAAAAGGTTTGCATCAGTGATGACGACAAGTATGTTAATACTAATGACTTAACCCAAGGAGAAATTTTTGAAGACATCCCCTACCAACATTACTTAAATGGCCCAGCAATTACAGACAATATGATTGCAGGTCAATGCATTGGTGCCCAAATTAAGACAACTATGTCCTGTATTGCATGCAGCACAACAATAGAAAACCTAAAAGATAGCGCAAAAATCACCTAGTGTACATCTTGCAAAATAAGAATTCTTCATAAACCTTCAACAATAAAACGTTCGTCAGCTGCAAATCAAGTCAGATGATACAATTAACAGCTACACAGCATTTAATGATGCACTACAAAGCTTCCTGTCACAAAATGTACCATATTTCTTAACCAAATCAGTTGTGATTGTGTCCACTATCCTGTTAACTGCTAGAAACCAAAAGTTGATAGTGGATAAAAGTGCTAAACTAGTCTCTTACCATAAGTTTCACTGCACCATAATTGTCTTCAAAGTGTTAGCAACCATCTATTTTCCAGGTAAGTACTAAAACAAGGAGCGACCTAAAACCACCTAAAACCACCTACAACCACCTCAAAAATTTCAACAATCATCTATAACCACCTCAGAAACATCTACAACCACTCGCAAACTATCTAAAACCATCTAAAACAAGGCATAAATGTCTAAAATAAGGCGAAACGACCACATGTCATGTACACGAAATACGAGAATCGAACGAAACCTCTACCTCCCCCTGAAATCTTACTCTCCCTGGTCCCATGTATAATCAACCATCTCACGAAATGAAATGCGATAGCATGCTAATTATTTTACATTCCCTCAGCAATAGACTTAAAGAAATTTACAAAATAAACTAACAAGTTGCAAAAAATAATAAATAGGGAATAATACATGGGCGCGCGTAGATATGGAATTAATCTTCGAGTGTTTAACTCGATAGCTCACGAGTGAGCGCAGTGAACGAGTGAGATGTCGAGTTGAACACGAGAAGAGAAATTCCACATCTACAAGCAACCATGTATTTGTTTATCATATAAACACAATAGCCCTTTTCTGGGAAGAAAATCCGACCTCATTAATGAATGCAAATAAATGAATCGACAATCCTCGAATAACAATCGTAGAGTGCGTTGGCGCTGACTCTTAAGATGGAAAATGCTTTGAATCATGATTTCAAAAACTTTCATATAGAAGCGCGCCTATATCCTGCCATATCCTGTCATATAACAATAGCTATTATTATTAGTTATTACAGTTGACCCACGGTACAGCTGTATTAGTAACTGAGTGTGCAAAAGTGAGGCTCTCCAGTCAACATTTCAGGGGAATACAAGTGTCATTTGTGAAAATCTCAGGAACAATAATTAATGATTATGATTTCCTCTGCAGATTTTGCATTTTTTTCACGAGAAGAGAGGCTTCAATTACTCAAGGAAACTACCCTTGTCATTTGACAAGGCCTAGGCTGAGAACGTAACTTTCATACCATGTAGGAACAGCCAAAGATGGCAGTACTTTGATGAAAGCCAAAGAACATGAACTAATGAACGGGTGAGTAGCAGGATGTAGGATCATTCTTGCTAAATTTTCTTGCGGGAATAAGAGTTTTTTTCTCTCTCAGACCTATATAACATTTTTTTTGTGGAGTTGTGAGTTAAATAAAAAATGGATGGGAAAACAATTTCACTTAGAGTTGGAAACATGAAGCATCTGATATGAAATATAAAGCTGATGTTTCCTCATCAAGCACAAGTTCTTAAACACCTTATATGAGTTCCCACAGGCTGCAAGCTGGTGTTCCATCCAGAGGGCTGAATTTCCACCATTTACAATTGAGAACATGACAAATTACCTTATTAAGAGAAAATAAGGAGATGATGAAGGTAATAAAGACTATAAGAATTTAGATAGCAAGGCATTTGGACCATTCAATCATGGTCATATACAAAATATTAAAGTTGCACTAGTTAAAATAGAGATATAAATCTTTGTAAAATGTGAATGCCTGCCAGAGATCAAGAAGAATTTGAAATACAAGCTCAAGGTAACAATTCTGGAGAGCAAGCTGGAGAGATCACCCATGCCAACTGCAGTCCAAGCCCAGCAAGGAAAGGACCATTTACGTCTTGTAAACACCTAGCTGCTTTATGCTTTTACCTTAAAGAGTTTGTAAGATTGAAGCAGAGATTTTGCCACCTGTAATGACAGGTTTCAAACTTAATGCTAACAAAAAGAGGATCTTATGCAATTGAAAACAATGAAATGTTGTGTGTAGCTTTGTCCCATGTGTTCAACCTGATAACTATGTCTTTTACTGTTGCATATTTAAAGACAGAGCTTATTTGTCACATTTGGGGATGGCACTTAATTAAGAAAGGTACTTTTTCAAGTAAATACACTAACTACAAGAGAGTATGTATGAAATTGCACTGCAACTCTGCTTGTGAGCCTCTTTAAGCTCCTCAAAGCCCCCTTCTAACAAGATCCCTTGTTAATGGCTTTCAGGCCTGGAGCCAACCCCTAGGGCCCTTGATATAATAGAGGAAAAACTATCTCAAAGCAGACATTTACTTTAAAAGAGGCAGCGAAAAATTAGTGAATAATGCATACACAAAGAAAATCATGTCAATTAGGCCACTCTTGCATAGTTGTTGGAATAAAGTCTAAAATAAGGTAATTCTTTATAAGTTCAATTGCATGTTCAACATGGATTCTGAGGGTTGCAATTCTTTGAGTTGATAGCATTTCCTGTTCATTGACCAGTCCTGATTGATTCAAGAAGGGAGGAACATTTACCTTGACACAATTCAAGGCTAAAATTTCTTGAATGTTGAACTCCCAATTCGCCATGATCTCATCTCCTGGCTGCAATTTGACAATAAGCCAGATTTACTGCTTTTTTTCCTTATCAGAAATACAGCCACCATAGAGATCTAAAATAAAACAAAACAGTGCCACTTAGAGTTATGCCGACCAATGCCTTTTCCACAGGTCTGAAATAAAAAAAAAACACTGCCAGTTGGAGTAATACTGACCATGCAATGCGTCAATGGTTTTAGTGTTATTGTAAGTTGAGAAGGTAAGATGTGCTTCTGGATTACTTGGTTTCTCAGTAGATATTACTTGCCTTGATGATTACTGTTGTTCCCTTGTACTTGTTTTTGCTGGCTTGAGATACTCATTTATTTGTCCATTTAGTTGTCTTTAAATCAGTAGTACATATACTTTGTCCAAGTAACAATTATTTGGCTCACAAGACTCTGAGATATCCTAAATCTTACAGCTAAATCTTCCTCAAGTAGACCAACTTTGTAACAACATAATATGAGGAAAAATTCCGCCTCCACTGACATAAGATTCGTCTAAGGCCTGTCTTCTCTCTTTTAGTTCAGAGTTGCTGTACATAAGTTTAGTTTTTTGCATCTTTACCTAAACAGCTAAGAACTATGCTGAAAACTTTATAGTTTGGAAACCCAGTATAGAATCTCAACAATTTTGAATTACTCTTAATTTTATCAAAGTTACATAGACTTTGTTGAAACATGTTTACCAACTCTTTTCTAAGCTCCTTTTATAGTTCAAGTTATTTCATTTTTTGAGTAAGTTCTTCTTTGAGTTCTGTGCACGCATAAAACGGTACGACAACACAAACTTGAACACGCGTACTTGTAATTATGAAATGGACTTTACAATCTTGAACGAACGTTGTACGGTTTCGAAAACTAAAAGGAAACAAAGGAAATTTACAACTATAAATACGGAAAAAGGCTAGACAAACAAGAAACGAAACCAAAAAAAAACTTACGTTTGTGTCCTTATAATATAAACGATGACGTTAAACGGGCGTTGAAACGATTCTCCACTTCGATCGAGCACATGTATTTTTTAACTCGCAGCGCCTCTCGGGATCTAGCTAATGAGTGCGTGACATCACGCATAACGGCAGTAACATTCCCGACCCCTTAAGCGATGCTTAACATGGAAAGTTCTTAGCTACAAAATAAAGTAGTAATTATGAAAAATAACTTGTCATGTCCTTTGCTAAAGCTAACGGGTCTAGTCCGTCACACAATCCGCTTAAAGAAATAGGGACTATGAATATTCCATGAAGGTTCAGCCCTTACGAGCTTCCTGTTTCATTGTTCATTATCGAGGCACGATTGTTCTTCCTTAGCTAGCAAGAGGACAACCTTGTCAACTGGTCTGCGTAGTTGGGAGGTTTGGGTCTTCAAATGAACCGTGCGTACCAACCCCTTCTTGTCTGATTCCGCGCTTATGACTCGTCCCATCGGCCAAACACTCCTCGGGCAGTTGTCGTCTTTCAACAGGACAACGTCTCCGACAGCTAGATTCCGTTTGGGACTGTTCTACTTCGAACGAGGTTGGAGAGTTGGGAGATATTCTCTCTTCCAACGCGTCCAAAATAAGTTTGCCAAGTACTGCACTCTCCGCCAGCGCCGCCTCATATAGACATCTGCGCGTTGAAAAACTCCTGCTGGGGGAAGTACAACGCTGGTTTTCATCGTCAGGAGATTGCTGGGACTTAGTGGGTTGAGGTCATCGGGATCACTCGAAGCGAATGTTAGCGGTCTCGAGTTAATGATAGCTTCAACTTCACATAGTAGAGTTCTAAAGGATTCGTCATCCAGACGGGAGCCATGCTCATGGAGTAGAACAGTGAGTACTTTGCGGGTAGTGCGAATCTGCCGCTCCCAAATGCCGCCCATGTGGCTGGCACTCGGTGGGTTGAAAATCCAATCTGTACCCTCTAGATGCAGCCTGCTTCTGATTTGCTCGTTGTTCATTTCGTAAACTGCTTGCTGTAACTCTGTCTTGGCGCCTACAAAATTTGTTCCGTTGTCGCTCCGGATCTCTCGGATAGGCCCACGACGAGCAATAAATCGCCTCAGAGCCTGGATAAATGAGTCTGTTTAGAGAGAATTGGCGGTCTCAATATGCACTGCTCTACTTGCTAAACATGTGAAAAGGCATCCGTACCGTTTGAGTCCCTTTCGACCTTCTTTGATCATGTACGGACCGAAGTAATCCACGCCAGTATACGTAAATGGCGGGGCTGGAGTCACTCGGTCTTTAGGCAAGTCAGCCATTTTCTGTTCAGCGACAGGGGCACGATTACGGCGACAAGTAACACAATTTGCGATTAGGTGACGAACAGCAGCATTGGCACCGGTGACCCAGTACTTCTCCCTCAATTTAGCAAGTGTGTGACCGCGGCCTGCGTGTGCTAGGCGTTCGTGTAGGCGTTTGATAATCAAGTTCGTAACGTGACTCTTGCGAGGTAAGATGATGGGGTGTTTCGTTTCTTCTGGAAGATCGTCAGCGCGGCTAAGGCGGCCACCAACACGAAGGAGGCCTTCATGAATGTAGGGATCCAGCCGAGTTAGGGAACTTGCTTTCTTCAGCACCATTTTCTTTTGCTTTGCCCGACCCCGTTCGTCTCCACCGCCTTTGTCACTGACTTGTCTGAGAGCGTCAAACTCTCTACTGAAGGACTGCAACTGTACGAAGCGAAGGATGGCCATCTCGGCCTCTTCAAACTCTTGAACTGAGAGCGGTGCGCAGCAGTCACCCACTACCTTCGTTTCAGCTTGTAGTGACTTCACGCCCGACCTTGCCTGACCATGGTCCGAATCTATCTCGAGAGAACCCTGGCCTCTAATCTCCTTCCGTTTTCGCAATACAGCCTTGATTCTAAGGAATGCGGCCACCGACAATCTCAGGCGATACCAACTCGAGTGGTATTCTATTAGTTTGTTAACTGACGTAGCCGTGGCTTCCATTACCATGGTACCGGCGGAAGCAACTTTTCTGACCTCAGGGTCGTCATCTGGGACCTCACCGACTGGAAAGGGCTGCTGCGGCCAGTCCTTTTCTGATTTCCCTAGGAAGTGTGGACCATTTGACCAGCGTTGCTGCTGCAGAAGTCCAGCGGCGGAAAGTCCTCTTGAGGCATCATCTGCCGGATTGCTACTGGTGTCCACGTATTTCCACTGCATAGGACTAGTGAAGTCCCTGATCAATTGCACACGATTTGCCACGAATATCTGAAACCTCCTCCGCTCGTTTCTTATGTAGCGGAGAACCGTCGTCGAGTCGGTGTGATAGATGATAGACTCAGGCTTAACTTCAAGCTCTTCATACAGCATTTGTCCCACGCGAACAGATACGGTTGCTGCAGTTAATTCTAAGCGTGGGACTGTTACGGCCTTAATAGGTGCAAGACGAGCCTTCCCCATTAAAAAGGAACAATGTATGCGACCCATGTTATCCATTAGACGTAGGTAGGCAACGCATCCATACCCCACCTGGCTTGCATCGGAGAACAGATGGAGCTGTCTGGAGACAACTGGGCCAAAACCCGGCGGTTTGTGACACCGATCAATGTGAAATTGCTCTAGTAACGGAAGCTCTCCACACCATCTTAGCCATTTACTGCGGCAGTCTTCCGGAATGTCGTCATCCCAGTCGAGATCTTCATTGCGGCAGAGATCCTGTAACAGCTTCTTCGCTAGAAGTGTGAAAGGAGCGATGAAGCCCAGGGGATCAAAGATTGATGAGATGGTGGACATGACTCCTCGTCTTGTAAACGGTTTGCTGTTAATGACGATTCGAAATCCAAAACAATCTGATTGTACGCACCACTGTATCCCTAAGGCACGCTCGATAGGGAGGTTGTCACAGTCAAGAGTTATTGATCTGACTTCTTTCGATCGCTCATCCTCTGGTATAGACTCTAAAACTGCACGACTATTGGAAGTGAATTTGGTGAGGCGGAATCCACCTTTCTTACAGGATTGCCGAAGACCTTCAATCAGCTCGACTGCTTTACCTTCCGAGCTTACGGAACGTAGACAATCGTCCACATAAAAGTTATTTCGCAGCGTGTCAGCAACCAAGGTACCGTACTTATCTTCGTTATCCCTTGCGGTTCGCTTAAGGGCAAAGTTAGCGACACTTGGCGACGAGGCCGCTCCAAATAAATGTACAACCATCCGATACTCTTGTAGCTCGGCTTCTAGATTGCCATCTGGCCACCATAAGAAACGGAGGTAATCATACTGTTCAGGAGGAACTGTAACCTGGTGGAACATGGATTCCACATCTCCCATGAAGGCTACGGGGTCTTCACGAAATCTGGTTAGCACGCCTACTAGGGAGTTTGTCATATCTGGACCTTGCATCAGACAGTCATTGAGCGACACGCCCTGAAACTTTGAACTACAGTCAAATACGACGCGTATTTTTTCTGGTTTTTTCGGGTGATACACCCCATGATGGGGTAGATACCACACCTTGCCTGGGTTCGGTATCAGCAACTCATTTGGAACTCTTTGTGCATACCCTTTGGCGATGACATCGTTTACGAAGGAAACGTAATCAGAGCGGTATTTAGAATCTCTCAACATCTTTTTCTTCTGCCAGTTTGCTCTTTTGATTGCTTGCTCCTTATTGTTGGGCATGATAATATCGCTATGTCGCAATGGAAGAGGAACTTGGTAGTGGCCGTCGACAACTTTCGTCTCCCTTTCAACCATAGTTAAAAACTTTCTGTCTTCTTGAGAAGGCCCACGCTCGTCCGGTGCTTTGCTTACGGTGTGATCGTTGAAGTCCATCTGCAACATTCTGAGCAATGACGTTGGAGCAATGATTTCCTTCGGCGTTTCCACTTCTCTCACTGTAATTCGGTTCGCGATTATTTTGTCCTTGTCATGATCAGTTCGGATATGGAGAGGTCCACAGACTGTCCAACCATGGCGGAGACGGAGGGCAAATGGGCCATCGCTTCGACAAGGTACAACTTCTAATGGTTCTAAGGCAGGCGGGCAATTGCTGCCAATGAGTAGTCCAATCTCCAGGCGAGGCTCAAGCTCAGGGATTTTCTTCGCAACCTCGGAAAGGTGTGACCACTGATTTATGAGACTGGGCGTGGGAATTTGGTGATGTTCTGCTGGGATTTCATCTCTTGTGTATGAGCGAGGCAACTCAATGGGATTCTCATCATCTAGGCTCGTAACGATAAGATCGTCCAGAATGATGCTTTCCACTTGACTCTGTCCATGCATGGTGGTGAGTTGTAGCATAACCTTGACACCGTCTATTCCTAACTGTCTCCTGATATTTTCGGTTGCAAAACAGCCGCCACTACCATTATCGTAAAACGCGTACGTGACAACTGAATTGTTACAGCCCTTCTGTTTAACTTTAACTGGGAGTATGGCATGTAGCACTACGGACTCCTTGCAACTTGGTGCGTCCTGTACAGGTTTAGAGACATCAATGCGCCTATTGCTAACCGCTATAGATTGAACTTCCGTCGCTTGGGGTTTGTTACTGACGCTCTCTCTATTCATTGTGAAACCATCAATGTGCAATGTTGTTGGGTGCCGTTTCTTGCACTTCTTGCAGGTGCGTCTCTTTACACAACCTTTGGATACATGATCAGATTCGTAACAGGCAAAGCATAATTTTCTTTCGTAAAGAAATGTCTTCCTTTCATCCATGGTCCTTTTGAGGAATTCCGCACAATCATCCAGGTCATGGTTCTTGCTGCAGAAGGGGCACAACTTTTCCTTGCCACCAGCATTGTTTCGGTTCGCATGGTTTACAGCCTCTATGCCGGGAATGGTGATACCAGTGGCAAAACTGTTGCTTGTTTTAGTTGCTGACGAGGGCTTCTTCTTGCCATCTCTCCCACTGTTATCTCTGCGCCTTTCCTGGGTACTACTTAAAGCCTGCACGCCAAATACAGGGTCGTTCGCTGATTCGGCTGCTGACACCACAAAATCAGCGAGATCCTTAAAGCTCGCTATCCTTCCGTTCTCTTTCAATTTCGCAGCACGATCACGCCATCTTGACTGGAGATGCGAGGGAAGCTTTTTTGCAATGGTCTGCAGGTTCGTAGGATGATTTAACTCATTCATATGAGACACGCTCATCATAGCATTTTTACACTTAATCAAGAAAAGCGATAAACGCTTTAGTCCTGATGCGTCATCTGGCCGAACTGGGGACCATCCGAGAGCTTTGTTCACATAGGCCATTGAAACTTTAAAGGGATCCCCATATTCCTTCTCCAGTAACCTCCTCGCCTCCTTATATCCTTCAGAAGGGTCCATATGCAGACAGCCTCCAATAAGTTCTCGTGGTTCCCTTTCAAGATGTTGTTCCAGGTAGTATAAGCAATCTGCCGCCCTGAATGTTCTGGACTCTATCCTTGCCTTGAATGCCATGATAAAGGTTCCATATTCGATGGGGTCTCCTTTAAACTTGTGCACTTCAGGTTGAGGCAGAGTCATTGCTGCAGCCAGTTGCCGATGGGTTGCAATCATTTGCTCATTTTGCTGTCGCTGCATGGCCATCACTTCTTTGAAAGACCTTTCATGGGGTTCCAATCGATAGGGATCATCAGCTGCAGCGATAATTCCTTGTGGTACATCAGTGGTCCCGTTGTTAGCCGGAGGCGATATCTCGCCGGCTAGACTGTTTGAGTGAAACTCTGGGGCAGCAGGGTTGAGATGAGCGGCAGGTGTTGAAGCCATGAATTTAGGTTCACTTTGCTGGAGACAGGGAACAATACCATCCTTATTTTCTAGGTTACCATCATTTTCCAAATCGGCATAAACCCTTTCTCTGGCCTGGGCTTTCGCTATTTCAGTTTCCAGTTTCAAGGCTTCATCTGCTGCTCGTAGAGCTTGTTTGCGTTCTAGCATTTGTTTTTCAGCTTGTAATTCCGCTAGCTTAAGTTTCTCCTTTGCTCGTGCAGATGGCGTTGAGCTGGCTGAAGACTTCTTCGAACGGGTGCTAACACGGGACGATTTGGATGAAGCCGATTTTACTTCTGAGAGCAGTTCTTCTGTTAAGCGACGTTCTGCTACATTCATCCATTCCATAACCTGTTTCCTAAATTCCAAAAATGACTTCTCCTTACTTTCATAGCGATCAAGTTCCCTGTCTTGATCCTGTTCGGAGGTCAACTGGCAATAATAAAGGTCACGTGCTTCTTGATACTCCTTGAATAATGTGTTCAATACAATAACCTCTGATTTCACTAAATGAAGATTGTTCTCATCTTCCATTAAGTTTGTGAGAGCATTCCTTTGCTTTGTCACAGCAGTCGTTTTGGCAGTTTGATCGTTTTTCAGTCGCCTTAATTTCTCTTCTTGACCCTTTTCAGTTAATTTCCTTACACGAGTATCGGGACAGCTTTCGTTCGGAGGAAACCCAGGCCCAGCGCCCTCAGCGACAGGTTCATCGTTCATGGTGGACTAGGCACTAATTAATCCTTCGGTAGTCGCTTCAAATTAGCGATGAGTGGCGAACAGTTCGCCCAACATTGCAAATAAACGTAGGATAAGTTCCAATAAACCAGTATGCGATGAGGGTTAAACTTTTCGAAACGAAATGTGCACGCATAAAACGGTACGACAACACAAACTTGAACACGCGTACTTGTAATTATGAAATGGACTTTACAATCTTGAACGAACGTTGTACGGTTTCGAAAACTAAAAGGAAACAAAGGAAATTTACAACTATAAATACGGAAAAAGGCTAGACAAACAAGAAACGAAACCAAAAAAAACTTACGTTTGTGTCCTTATAATATAAACGATGACGTTAAACGGGCGTTGAAACGATTCTCCACTTCGATCGAGCACATGTATTTTTTAAATCGCAGCGCCTCTCGGGATCTAGCTAATGAGTGCGTGACATCACGCATAACGGCAGTAACAATGACAATTATTAAATGTTCACTGAATGTATTGTAAATGTACTAGTTAAACACCTAACACCTTTATGCCACAGTCTTTATGATTGTTTGTTTGTTTTTTCTTTTATAGCTGTGAAAATCAATATGGAAGATCGCCTTGGAGCATGGCAAAAAGAGTTAGCTGAGTTATCTGACAATTTGAAAATGCTGTGCCACTCACAACAAAATACTGTTGGTATAGAAAGTAGCGAGGTAGTAGAGTATGTTGCAAAGAAGCATCTGGAAATGTTGACAAGGGTAAATTAATCGTGATTTAAAAATTCTCCAACTGCTTTGTTAATTAGCATGCTTTTAAGGAATAATTATTGTGTTTCTGACACCAGGTCTTTTACCAAGTTATTCATTTCATGTATTTAGGTTTGTAGAGAATGGAAGGAAATCGCACAGGTGACAAGATCAAGAGTATTTGATGATACAGAGCAAGGAGAAATAGATCTTTTTTATGTCAAGGTCTAATATTTCCTCATTTTTATTGCCAAAGTGTTAGTTATGTACATGTTCATGCACACCCCTAAGATTAAGAGAGCATGTTGCTGATGAAAAGGGATTATTTAACCTTTTTACAACTGTGTTTGTGATTGAATATAAAATACACTTAAATGTTATATAAAATGCAAAACACATGGCTTTCTTTTTGTGTATATTGTTGCAAGCTTCATTATGAACTGTACATACTTATTTAATCAGTCCTGATAAAATAGGTTTGTCAATCACCATCCCCACAATGTGAATCAGTGGTAAATGCCAAATAGAATCCTTGTCCATGATAACTTGTGAGTATCTAGTGCACTGGTTTTTGAGTTTGCTTTGTTCTTTTTCCCTTCTTAATTGTAGTGTAAGGAATGGGGTTTCCTTTTGAGAGATATTTTTGGAAGCAGCCTTGGAACTGGGGATTATGGGCACTTGCTTATTGACCATGCCCCCATGCTTATGAGACGCTTTTTGTCAATGACTGAGTTTAGTCAGCAGGGATTTGAAGCATCCCATAAGGACCAGCGTCAGCTTTGGCTTAAAGCCACAAGCCATGATCAGCATGGGGAAGCCTCATCAAGTAAGTGTAAATAGCAACCAATATTGATAATGAATTGGCAGTTGTTGAAAGGGTGTGTGTTTCTGTTTGACTGTGAAAAAAAGACAGTGCAAGGAAGGTAATGTATTTAATGAGAATATGGACCCTGATTGTGTAGGAAACCAATTAAAGTGGCCATTTATTTCTAAGTTAGATATTGATTTCCATTGAATTACAGTTGAGCAAATGCTGGTGCACTTTTATGCAGAACGGATGTTGTTTTTTTCGTCTATCTCTCCGAGAAGCCTTAAAGTCAATTCATGGTAAGCATTAATTTATTGTGCATTCTTGCCCTCATTGACACTACTCCTGCTTTTCTTGAAATAGAAGCTAATTGGCTTTGAATAAACTCGTGAATTCTCCAAAAAATGCTTTGGTTCTTGCCCAACCCCCTATCATAATCTCAAAAACTTCATAACTTAGAAACTGTAGAAGTTGCCAAAATAAGATTAATCTATACTCTGTTTGGATGGAACTGTTAAATTAAAAAAAAAAAAAAAAAAGCAACAAGAATAGAAAGTATGATCCAAAAAAGTACCATCAACTTGATTGAAAGGTAGTGTTATCTTTATTAATTACTTGTTATCTTTATTGATGTGTGATGTGTGATGTGTGGCTTGGAGTATAGCAGTTATTTTCATAAATTAGCTTCATTCTTGGTCTGCTAGGGATTCACAATACATTCAGAATTCTCTCATGCACTTCGCAAAAGTTTAACTGGCTCCTCTGTTCTCCTTTTTTTTTTTTTACTTTTTCATTGAACAGTTATTAATTTAAACAATTCATTGGTTTGCACTTCACCAAACTTTTGTAATAGAGAGTTTTCTCTCATTACAGGAAAGACATTGGAAAATCAGAACACTTTTCAATTCTACTTTTCTGGCTGTGGTTGGAAAGCAAAGTCCATTTCCTGGGAATCAAGTGATATCCTCTGGATCAAACTTTTGGACAAACTCATGTTCATGATGTTTGGGGAGGATTTCTTCGAGTATGTATTTGATGAGAAAAGAACATGCCATGTGCATGATGGTTTCAAGCCACAGTTTGTTTACAACAGACATGAATGGAATTGTGAATATGAAAATATGATTTCCAATTCCTTTGGCTTTACCAGCAAAATGCAAGGTAAGTCAGACATCATATGGTGGGGTAGGTTTATAGATTGAGCCAATAATACCCAGCTCTATTCTATTCCTATCTGTTCATTGGCCTATTTTGCTTAAGGTTGAAATGTAGCTTTTTATGTCCATCACAGGTGACCTGAAAGTGTTCCAGCAGCAGAAAATGCCCAGCAAATTTTCAAAGGCAATTCAAAATCAACCAGAGATTGCAAAAGGTAAAACCAAAATACTCTGAACACAGATACAGTATGTTTGCACTGCTGATCTTTAGTCACTGGTTTAAAACTGTAATATACTTTTATGAGCTATGGGGAAATTCTTTTTTCACTAATGGACGTGTAGTAACGCAAAGGCATTAGACCCATGACTCTCATAGTGCCACTGTAGCTCTAAAGGGATCAAGGTTCATGCAAATTTTGAAAAATGTCTTAGTGGTATATTTCCAGGAAAAATCAAGAGAGTGTATTGATAGCATTGTTTTGGCTCTTCTGGTTTAAAGGTCACTGATGTACGAGTCTGTAGAATGTGTTTGATAAACACATCTGCACGTGTGTTTACTAAAATGATCCAAAACCAACAAAATTTTACTACTTCTACAGTACACCAGTGTGATCATAAACATGGCTGTCACTTATGTCATAGATAGAATGAGTTTGGTGCTACTCCTATTTCTCACTTACTAAGAGAAAACTATCTCAGGTTTTTTTCGTTATTTAACTATTTTTCCAAGCTCCTACAAAACCTCACACTCAACTACATCACCTTCCCTCCACTTAGCTTAGTTGGCACTTTGAAACTCCAATGCGCTCTTGCTCTGTCTTGAAAGCAATTTACATATACACTTTTATATGTAATACTGTAGGTGCAAGCCACAAAAATGATGCCCTACTTGTAGATGAACATCTCCATCAAACATCATCCAATGTTGCTGGCAAAGAAAATACTTCGACTGATCAAGACAGGTATCTTTTTAAAAATGGTCTGTTTTGAAATCAAGTTACACCAACAATGGTCAATACGCTGTTGTTTTCATGGTCTAATGTACTTTTATCATGGGGTATTAACTTCCTTATTTTCAGTTTCAAAGTTTTCTTGCTTTTGTTTGAGACCATGCTATTTATAAATATTATTTAATTTTCATTTGTTTTCATGATTCCAGGGTAATAGCTGTGTTTCCACCACCACCAGCAGTAGCAAAAATCCAGGTCTTACAGATGGACCTTGCCACATTGAAGGTTGGGATGGAAGTCAGTGATTCCATTGTTGACTTTTTTCTTATGTAAGTAATATATCAATGTAAGAATATCACTGTACTTGATTTAGTGAGAACCTGCAAATGTAGTTTTTTTTTTCTTTTTAATGTGTCCTCAGGTAAATGTAAAACATCACAAATAATTTATTATTCTTTTCCTTCAATTTTTTGGCTAAAATTTTGCCCTATGTTGAAGGGGTTGCTGATGCAAAGAGCTCATACTTCATCCTCTTTAAAATCCACCATTTGAGATTGTTGTGCTAATCAATTGATTAATGGCATTGAAAAATTGCTTTCCAAATTTAATCATCTTTCTGTTTTTAATAGGTACATATCCCAATCATTGGACCAGGATTTGCATGACAGCATTCATGTGTTTAGCTCCTTTTTTTACACTAAGCTGTCAACTAGAGTTCAGATTGGAGAAATCTTTGTCTTGCCTAGGTAATTAATTGTTTTCTTTGCACTTAGATTTAAACACTTAAAGCAGTGTCATCTCTGGTCCTGCAAAAAATAGCTCTTGTATTAATTGTTGGTAAGCTGAACCATCCTAATGATATACATGTACCCAATATGGTTGGTTTTCTTCGAAGTACATTAATAAAGACAATATTATTTTTTATAATTATTATACATGTTTCTCCTACGTGCTGATGGTCTTTAATAATTATTTGCCTCTCTATGCATCTGTCAGTCCTGATGAAAGATATGTCGAAGCATCTAAGTTTACAAGGAGAGTGGACATTTTCAAAAAGAAGTTTATTTTCATTCCAGTATGTAGAAGGTATTAAAAAGTTCATGATAATTATTATTGTTGCTTATTTTATATCTATATCTCTCTATGCTATTTTTCTCTGCAAACACCATTGTCATAATATAAACAGTGCCACTGTTTGTTTTATTTTTAGTGGGCATTGGTTCCTATCTCTGATAAATAATCTACCAACACTCACAAGCAGAAGAAGAAAGGATGATGGCTGTGCTGTGTAAGCTTTAGCAGAAACATTGTCTTTGAGCCTTTCTAAAAATAGAAAAAAGTATGCTCAAGTCATCTAATGATGTTTGATCTAAAATGCACTAAGGGCTTCGTGCTGTAGCAATAACTTTGTTGAATGGTGAAGTTGAGGATTTTGACTAATTCTTGTTGGGAAAAGACACCAACTGAAGAGAAAATTAATATTGCAGTGGAATCTTCTTTTTAGAGTTCCAATTCTGATGATTGACTCCATTGTTTATGGCTCAGATAGAAAGAACTTCACTTGTTCTCCCTCCTCACGAGAACAAGAAGCAAACATTATCAGAAGGTATGCACTATACTATTTTCATTTTTTTTTAAACACCAGACACCTCCTGCAGTACAGCAACTGTATCATTTGTTTGTTTTTAGTTTTATAGAATGTGAGTGGACGGCTAAAATGAATGAATGTCCAAGTCCACACTTTACTTCCAAGACTATGCCTGTCCTCTATCCCAAGGTATTAAAATCTCTAGTCTTCTTCTTAAGGGTTGTCATTTCAAGTTGCATTTTTCAGGGAAAAATTAATGCTAAAGTATCTAAATGTAGATAGGAAACACTATCTTGTACTGAGGCTGACTGAAGTACTGAAAAAATTGGATAGTATTACGATGGTGGTGAATGTTTGGTTATACAGCTTGTCTTTTTGTCATTTACTGCGAATTAGCAGAATAAAATCCAACTATAGATATCTGGTGCATTAAATATAAACTTAATGGGTAACTCTATAAAGAATAATTCATGTCTACTGAAATCAGTTAAAGCAACCCAATAACCATTGTCAGACTGTAATTCCAGAGGTGTGAGAAACATTTAGAGACCACTGTAGTTGTGATAGTAATATTTAAAAAGACAGATGGATAGATAACGGCATTCTTGAACCCTTAGGTACCTCAGCAAGAAAACGGGTATGATTGCGGAGTATTTGTTATGCTGTTCTTCGAAGAATTCTCAAGGCGAAAGGTTAGGATAAGGTTATAAACATTTTAAAACATAATTTCCATCTCAGCTGAGCAAGACAACGATTCTCTGTTTGTTTTCTCTCTTTTAGTTTCCAGTAGGCGAGCTTCTTTCAGACAAAATTCTCCAGTGGTATAACCAAGCTTTAGCATTTCATTTGAGAGAGAGAGTCACAGACACCCTTTTGGCTACGGGAGCTAGAATTTGAGACTTTACAACTACTCTTATCGTTATCTTATGTTCAGTTGCCATGACGCATGTAAAGAATGATTAGTTGAAATCTATTATTTTCCATTCATACAAAAACGGTGGTGAACGCATTGAACAAAAGGCTTTATTTGTCGTAAGGTTCCCATGTGAACAATGAGTTGGTAACGGTAAGGGTGATAACCCCTTCGTAACATATCCCTGGCCCAAGTTTGACAAAACGTTTTCTGCTGCTATGGTTTTTGTCTCAATATTACACCCAAAAGTTGCGCTTAACAACGAGGCTTGACTTTCAAATTATAATTCTCATTCTACGTAACCTGATTATCGACATATCGTGGGTTTTGTTTTGAAAGCAGATGCTGATGGGGCATGATAGTCTGCGCAGGTATCGGAATAAACGCGCGCTAAAGTTTTTCCAGCGAAGCCGCGAGAAAAATGTTTAGGGTTCGCCGATCGTATGAATTCCACGTGCGTATTACATCCGGCCAGCTACATAAGCTAAATGCTTGATTGTATGTATGTCCCTCAGTCATTGTTTTAATGCCATTTGAGTTTAGATTCCAAAACGAAATAAAGAAAAAGAAAAAAAAATGAAATCATTCTTTGTGTTTCTTTTTACTGAATAGTTGGGGTCGATTTACACGAAAGATCACAAAAGTGAAACCACTTTTATTAAGTCCTATCTTATTCATCCGGAAATACGTAACATAATTAATTATAAGTAGTTTCTTGTGGACCTAATTGTAAATGATGTATTTATAGTTCTTTAAAGTGTAAAAGTTTAAGCGTTAACAGGAACAAAAAATGAAATTGTTGAACTTCTAAATTGAAGTTTTTTTGACATAGAAACGCAGAGTCAGTTTCCCATAAAGCGATCTCGAGTATAAACTTGGCCACCAAATTAACTCAACTTCTCGAGTGGAACGGCCCTCCCCCGTGCTAATTTCCATTGACGATCGACTCGTTGGTCGTGGTACTGGTTTTTTTGCCCTTGCTTTGGAAAATTCAAGAGCCTCCTCTGCTTCCATATTTGAAATATCAGGAACTTCATCCTGGTTACTGAACAATGCATGGGACTTAAACAGCGAAGAGTCCTGCTCTTCTAGAATCCTTTTGAACGTTTGCTCCTCAAATATTTTGTACGACAATCGTCTTGCCGTTCTTTTGAAAATAGGCTGGCGGCGGTGTGAAACATCGCGAACACTATCAAGCCTCGGACTTTCCAACCGATGCAAAAAGTGACGAAAATACCGCTCGGGTACTTGAAAACAGTCGATATGACACCACTTTCCTATCAAGAAATGAACCGAACCGTGTTAACAACAGCTTCCAAAACAGAGAAATATTTAAACCATAGTATTCACCTGGATGATCAGGTACCAATGACATGTTTATTCTCTCCACCAAAGCGGATAGCCATTTCAGATATTCTTGAAGTTCTGCATCGTTTGCTTTTGGCTCATCGCAGCGATTGCCAAATTCATCTACAAATATGTTTGTTGTCTCAAAAAGGCTGTCTTCATGATGCTTCAGTTCGTAGTGTTTTCTTAGAGAAACACCTGTTTTGAATTTTTTCCCACAAAAGCGACAGAAAACTGCAAACGGCATGACTAATACCCCATTCACACCAGCAAAACATGTTTTGTTAAACTGGTTTTCATTGAATGAAAATTATAAACAGAGAACTGAAAAACTTGATTTTCCATTGGATTCAAGTACTTGCTAACTTGTATTTCCAATGTGCTACATTCAAGTCAAAAATATTCGGTTAAATGGTTTCTATGAAGAAAAAAAAAATTAAACTGTGTTTAACAAAACAACTTTTAAACATGTTTAAGCTTTGGTGTGAATGGGGCATTACTCTCGTGAGTTTGAGTCGAAATTGTGCACTTGGCCAATAACGGAAACTGAAGAAAATGTCTCAAAGTCTCACTTTCATGTTATAATTGAAACAAAGAAAATTAAGAACGTCCTAAAAATAGTGTTACATATGGGCCGGAAGTATCGCTTGATTAATGTTTGTGAGCTACAAAAGAATGCAAACTGCTACAGACTTAAAATATTGCACTTTGTAAAAAAAGAGAGAGATTCGAGAAGAGGCTTTTTTTTCAAAACTTCAATGCATCAGTTGAGGCTATGCAATTCTTTTTGAAAAGACAAAAGAAACTCTTTGGATACAAATGTGTGATAATTACGCGTGTCAGTCACGGATTAGAGCCTTAAGCGAACTGAAGGATTTTTCTTTGGAGCGACCAAGTAATTTTGTGTGATGTCGAGAACTTCAAATTGCAAACGGCAGTTACTTACTCTCTTGAGTTTTAGTCGAAATTGCGCACTTGACCAATGACGGAAACTGAAGAATGAGTCTCACTTTAATGTTATAATTGAAACAAAGAAAATTAGTAACGTCCTCAGTAAAACAAAGGAAATAATACAGCGTTAGAACTGGGAGAAGTATCACTTCATCCGAATGTATGTGAGCCAGCAACTTCAATTTTCAAGATAATCAACTGAGTTTCGAAAGAATGCAAAGTGCTACAGACTTTAAATGTTACACTTTGTGAACAAATAGAAGAGATTCGAGAAGAGGCTTTTTAAAAGTTGAACGCATCAATAGTTTAGGCTATGCTAATTCTACTTCAAAAGACAAAAGGAAGTCTTTGCATACAAACGTGCGATAATTACGCGTGTCAGTGATTACGGATTAAACCTTCTTAAGCGAAGAACGATCTCTCAGGGCTGGAGCAAGCAAGTAATTTTGCATGATGCCGAGGTTCAGAAAACATTCAATTGAAGAAAAGCGCAGAAGAACAAAGGTACGAAAACAAAGGAAGAAGTTCAACAGAAAATTCCAGAAGACTGTTGCAGGAAAGCGGAAAACTGAAATCAGTGACCGTGAGGAAACAACGAGACCTGATCAAAACGAAAGTCAAGAGGATGTTACCGTAAGGAAACCACAACTGCAAGTAGAATGTCCTTCTTCGTCTTTTGATGAAACCCAGGTTGGAAATGTTCCTTTCGCTGAATCATCATGCTCTGATAAAGTTTGCAGGATCGAAAACTGAGAAGGTTAATCGGTTAGGGGATCGAGACAAACGAACAACTCACTTCAAAAGAGACAGGCCGTTTTGAAGCCATAAGAGAAGAACCTTTATTATCGTTTCATAAAAAAAAGAATGCTATTGGTTGTCGGTCAAAAATATAATTCTTACTGTAAAGTATATTTAAAATTATGATTTTGTTAACCAACGAAACGCGAATTTCAATGTATCGTGGAAACACCACAGTGAAAACAGTTCAGCAAACAACTCGACTTACTCAACTGCTTTGTTTATAAAAAGAAACATTCACTTGCCATTCTACTGCCTCTTAAATGCTAAATAGAACATTAATTTAAATTTAGAAAGAAAGAAACCAAGGATTTCAGTTTATTTTGTTACAGTTTCTGTGGTGGCTTTCTGTCGAAAAAATTCGAGCGTTTCCGCATCACTTATCATCAATATGTTGTTCCGAACACATGGCATGGGAAAAAGAACTAGCGAAATACCTATGTTATAATTGTAGAGATTTGTTGCAAAAATTCTTCAACAGTAGGCCTATCACCCGGGTTTTGGTCAGTGGCTTTTTTCACAAGCACCCGCACCTTCTCATAAAAACCTATTAAACACGACACAGCCTTCAGCATTCACCCTATAGAGTAAATGTCACTAGAAATGCTGTAACGTCTTTCTTTTTGGACTTCTGGGGCTAAATAGATCTTTCTTGAAGAGCAGGATGAACTTCGTTTTGAGGATGGCAACCCCAGCTTGGTGCTTTTACCGAAATCAATAAGAATCGGGTCGTATTTCGCAGAGTCGGACTCTCTTTCCAATACTACATTGTTAGCTTTTATGTCATTATGAAGATAGCCTTTTGAATGAACATAGCTCAAGGTGGAAGCTATCTCTATAAACAGTGAAATACAAACTGTTTAATTAAGCAGGTTAGTGCTTGCTGCCTGATGAAGAGTAGTGCTTTCTTGGTTGATGCCATGGAACTGTAGAACAAGGCATAGGGGCAAGCTCTTTGTAACTACTCCAAACAACATTGGGAGGTTGGCATGATCCCCCAATGCAGTTATAACCCCTGCTTCATGAAGAAGGTTTTTCTTTGCCCTGTCCTGTTCTCCGGCGTTGTCATTGTGTGTCATTTGCTTCACAATAACGGCGATCCCGCGGTAACTTGCTTTGAAGCATTGGCCAAAACTTCCACTACTAACGGAATGTTGGGTTAGATACTCCAAATGTTCCGGAATCAATTCTTTAAAGTTGCATTTGAATTCTTTATCTGACATACTCTTAAAATGGATATTTTTTGACTAACAATGCGTTGAAACGTTGTCCGTGCCAAAAATGACCTTGAATGTTGAGTCGGCTTGCGTCTTGCGTCGTCTCCAAGCGCCATCCGAAGCATTGTTGCAGATCTTGAACAATGTACATCCAAGAGGGTTGTTAATCGTGGTCTCTTCGCATTACTTACCATTTCTTCTTTAGAATTAGCCTCAAGCATGATAAGTCCGCTTTCGTTGCCTACCTGTTCTGTATCCAGATTTGGAGAAAACAATTTCTTATCTACCAAGCTCGTCTCAGCCACATTTGGTCCATCATTGATTCTCAGCAGAACTTCAGTATTAGCGAGCAGAGCCAGATTACTCGCATTCTTCTGCTGTCGCTTTCGCTTTCTCCATTCCCTATTTTGTTTTCGTTTCTCCTCGGGAGTATTTTTTCGCGATTTCACTTCCCGTTTATTTGGTATTTCCAGCTTATTGGAGGCTTCAAGGTCCGCCGGCATTTTACTAATGCATTCCCAAGCAAGAAGAGGGAAATAGTTGAACACGTGCCCTTGCATCCGATCTCACAATTTACGAAAACTTCATTATTCTTGTGAAAAATGATAGCCGTCTTATTGAAACTTGATGACAAGTATAAGCCGGCAAAGAAAACAGTGCAAAAGCAATTATCTGTCACATCGATGTCAGCAGCAACAGGATTATGACACCTTACAGGAAAGCTGCCTGGAGCGTTCAAAAAGTCCCATACATTGTCTTAGACTAAAAGTCTAAGAAAATGTAAGGGACTCTCCGGGATACTTACAGTACAGACGATTTGCGTCCCCTCATGCTTAATCTATTATAATAAAAAAGAATGGTACTCTGGGAGAATTTGTTTATTTCACTGTTGTTTTCGGAGCCTCTTTTTATCCTACAGTTACAAGTTAAAGGCCCATTTCCAACCTTGATGCAACTCGCGCCGCGACCCAATTTCCTGTAACACGAAATTCCCAGATCACTGAAAACCTTCTAAAATCGTCTTTCTCAAGAGCCATCCTGAACATATAGTCAACAGTTTTACGGTAAATACATTCGCCGTTCGTTATTTCACTGTTTCCTTACAGTATTTTGAATTTTTTATCTTGAAGAATCCTGAGAAAAATTTTTTTATATGTCACGCCTGGAGCTCTTTGTACTCTGTGAAGAGTCGGCGAAAAGGACAATATTCAAATTTTTTCACTTTCTAGAAGCGCTTGAGGATTCTAATTGAA